CCCAGATCTGACCCATAACTGACCCATAACTGACCCATAACTGACCCCAGATCTGATCCCATAGCTGACCCCACTGACCCCATAAGTGACCCCACCCTGACCCCACCCTAACCCCATAACTGACCCCACTGTCCCCTATATCTGACCCCATAACTCCCCACACTGACCCCACCCTGCCCCCCATATCTGACCCATATCTGACCCCACATCTGGCCCCACACCGACCCCACATCTGACTCCACACTGTCCCCCATATCTGGCTCCATATCTGACCCCATATCTGACCCCACATCTGACCCACATCTGACCCATATCTGACCCCATATCTGACCCCACATCTGACCCATATCTGACCCCATAACTGACCCCACTGACCCATAACTGACCCCATATCTGACCCCACATCTGACCCATAACTGACCCCATATCTGACCCCATAACTGACCCCATATATGACCCCATGTCTGACCCCATATCTGACCCCATATCTGGCCCCACATCTGACCCCACATCTGGCCCCACGCTGACCCCACGCTGCCCCCCACGCTGACCCTGTATCTCCCCATATCTGATCCATATCTGACCCCACATCTCCCCACATCTGACCCCATATCTGGCCCCACGCTGCCCCCCACACCGACCCCCCCGTCCCCCGCCCACAGGTGGCCAAGCAGCAGGAGCAGTCGGCCAGCACGCAGAAGGCGGAGCGCGAGGTGACCAAGATGGTGGTGGTGATGGTGCTGGGCTTCCTGGTGTGCTGGCTGCCCTACACCGCCTTCGCGCTCTGGGTGGTGACGCACCGGGGACACCCCTTCGACGTGGGGCTGGCCTCCATCCCCTCGCCCCACATCTGGCCCCACACCGACCCCCCCGTCCCCCCGCCCACAGGTGGCCAAGCAGCAGGAGCAGTCGGCCAGCACGCAGAAGGCGGAGCGCGAGGTGACCAAGATGGTGGTGGTGATGGTGCTGGGCTTCCTGGTGTGCTGGCTGCCCTACACCGCCTTCGCGCTCTGGGTGGTGACGCACCGGGGACACCCCTTCGACGTGGGGCTGGCCTCCATCCCCTCCGTCTTCTCCAAGGCCTCCACCGTCTACAACCCCGTCATCTACGTCTTCATGAACAAGCAGGTGGGGACACGGGGACAATGGGGGTCATGGGGACAATGGGGACAATGGGGGTGATGGGGACAATGGGGACAGTGGGGGTCATGGGGACAATGGGGACACGGGGACATTGGGGGTCATGGGGACAATGGGGGTCATGGGGACAATGGGGACAATGGGGACAATGGGGACACGGGGACAATGGGGACAATGGGGACAATGGGGACAATGGGGACACGGGGACAGTGGGGGTCATGGGGACAATGGGGGTCATGGGGTGATGGGGACAATGGGGACAATGGGGACAATGGGGACAGTGGGGCAGTGGAGGTGGTGGCGGCATCGACATCTTCATGAACAAGCAGTTGGGGACAAGGGGACACGGGGACAGTGGGGGTGATGGGGGCATGGGGGTGTTGCTGTGGGTCTGGGGTCTCTCTGTGGGTATGGGGCTGTTCCTATGGGTCCCGCCGTGGGTCTGGGGTCCCGCCGTGGTCGGGGGTCCCGCCGTGGGTCGGGGGCTGTTCTATGGGTCCGGCCGTGGGTCAGGGGCTGTTCTGTGGGTCCCTCCGTGGGTCGGGGGTCCCGCTGTGGGTCGGGGGTCCCTCTGTGGGTCAGGGGCTGTTCTGTGGGTCCCGCCGTGGGTCGGGGGTCCCGCCGTGGGTCAGGGGCTGTTCTGTGGGTCCCGCGTGGGTCGGGGGTCCCGCGGTGACGCCCCCCGCCCGCAGTTCCGCTCCTGCATGCTCAAGCTCGTGTTCTGCGGCCGGAGCCCCTTCGGGGACGACGACGACGTGTCCGGCTCGTCCCAGGCCACGCAGGTGTCCTCGGTGTCCTCCAGCCAGGTGTCCCCGGCGTAGGCCGCGGCTGCCCCACGGCTCTGCCCCACGGCGGGGCTGCCCCACGGCGGGGCTGCCCCACAGCGGGCCCGACCCAGCCAGGGCTGCCCCACACCGGGCTCGGCCCTATACTGGGCTCAGTCTCACATTTCTTCCCTATATCGAGCTCTGCCCTATATCAGGCTCTGCCCCACACCGGGCTCAGCCCTATATGGGGCTCAATCTCACAGTTCTGCCCTATATCGAGCTCTGCCCCACACCGGGCTCAGCCCTATACTGGGCTCAGTCTCACAGTTCTGCCCTATATCGAGCTCTGCCCTATATCAGGAGCTCTGCCCTATATCAGGCTCTGCCCCACACCGGGCTCAGCCCTATACTGGGCTCAGTCTCACAGTTCTGCCCTATATCGAGCTCTGCCCCACACCGGGCTCAGCCCTATATGGGGCTCAATCTCACAGTTCTGCCCTATATTGGGCTCTGCCCCACACCGGGCTCGGCCCTATATCGAGCTCTGCCCCACACTGGGTTCAGCCCCTATATCGAGCTCTGCCCCACACCGGGCTCAGCCCTATATCGAGCTCTGCCCCACACCGGGCTCGGCCCTATATCGAGCTCTGCCCCACACTGGGTTCAGCCCCTATATCGAGCTCTGCCCCACACCAGGCTCAGCCCTATATGGGGCTCAATCTCACAGTTCTGCCCTATATCGAGCTCTGCCCCACACCGGGCTCTGCCCTATATTGAGCTCTGCCCCATATCAGGCTCGGCCCTGTGTTGAGCTCTGCCCTATATTGAGGTCCGCCCTATACCGGGCTCGGCCCTATATAGGGCTCTGCCCCATATCGGGCTCTGCCCCACACCAAGCTCGGCCCTATGTTGAGCTCTGCCCTATATTGAGCTCTGCCCCATGTTGGGCTCCGCCCCACATCAATCTCAGCCCTATATCAGGCTCAGCCTCATGGTTTTGCCCTATGGAGGGCTCTGCCCCACAGCTCTGCCCCACATCGGGCTCTGCCCCACAGAGGATTCTGCCCCATGGAGGGCTCTGCCCTATGGAGGGCTCTGCCCCCCGCAGTGCTGCCCCACAGCTCTGCCCCACATCGGGCTCTGACCCATGGAGGGCTCTGCCCCACACCGGGGATGCCCCACAAGGGGCTTGGCCCCATATATTGGGCTCTGCCCCATGGTGGTGCTGCCCCATGGCTCTGCCCCACACCGGGCTCCACCCTACAGTGGCTCTGCCCCACACCGGGCTCTGCCCCACACCTCTCTCAGCCTCACAGCAGCTCTGCCCCCCCCGCTATGGGGCAGCCCCACAGCTCCGTTGTACATAACCCCCCCCAACCCTGCATTAAACACTGGAGACGCAGCCGCTGCCTCTGCTTTGCCCCACAAGTGCCCCCAGACCCACAGGTGCCACCCCCAATGTCCCACAAGTGCCCCACAAGTGCCCCCAGACCCACAGGTACCACCCCCAATGCCCCACAAGTGCCCCCAAGACCCACAGGTACCACCCCCAACACCCCACAAGTGTCTTTGCAGTGCCCCCAAGTGCCCTACAAATGCCCCACAAGTGCCCCACTGTGCCCCACAAGTGTCCTCGCAGTAACCCCACGCTCCCAAGTGCCCCCGCAGCGCCCCCAGCCCCACAAGCGCCCCCCAAGCGCCCNTGGCCCCGAGCCGGAGCCCCCCGTGATGTAACGCGGCCCCGTGACCCCGATCCGGGGGGCGGGGGGGGAACCGACCCCAAAATGTGGGTCAGGAGGGGGCCGGGAGTCCCCGGTGTGGGGCAGGACCCCAAATGTGGGCCAGGAGTCCCCGGTGTGGGGCAGGACCTCGATGTGGGGCGAGACGGGCTCTGGACCCTGCTATGGGGTGGGAGAAGGGTCAAGACCCTGATGTGGGGCAGGACCCCAAATGTAGGTCAGGAGAGGCTCAGGAGCCCCCGGTGTGGGGCAGGACCCCCAGTGTGGGTCAGGACTCCGCTATGGGGCGGGAGAAGGGTCAAGACCCTGATGTGGGGCAGGACCCCAAATTTGGGTCAGGAGGGGCTCAGGAGCCCCCGGTGTGGGGCAGAACCCCAAATATGGGTCAGGAGGGGGTCAGGACCCCGCTATGGGGCGGGAGGGGCGTCAAGACCCTGATATGGGTCAGGAGGGCGTCCCGACCCCCTGACATGGGGCAGGACCCCCCAGTGTGGGGAAGGACCCTCCGATGTGGGTCAGGAGGGAGTCAGGACCCCGCTATGGGGCAGAAGGGGGGGTCAAGACCCCGATGTGGGTCAGGAGCTGGGCTGGAACCCAGATATGGGGCAGAGGGGCTCCAGGACCCCTCAGTGTGGGTCAGGACCCCCCAGGAGGGGGCTGGGACCCAGAATTTTGTGGAGGGGGGCCAGGACCCCCCGATGTGGGGCAGGAGAGGGTCATGATCCCGCTATGGGGCAGGAGGGGGGACAAACACCCCGCTATGGGGCAGGACCCCAGCGTGGGGCTGTGTCACATCCCGGGGGGGCCAGCGCTGCTCCTGGGGGGCTCAGCCCCACACTTGGGGGTCGCGGGGGGTCCCGGGGGAGCCGAGGGATCCCGAGGGGGCCCAGTCGGGAGCTGGGGGTGGGGAATTGGCGCTGGGGCTTGGGGGGTCCCGGGGGTCTCGGGTCGGGGGGGGGTGGAAATTATCCAGGAAACTTTGGGGCTGTTTGTGACGAATTACGCGTTTTGGGGGTCTCAGGGGTTTCTGGGGGTCCCGGGGGTTTCCGGGGGTGCCGATTTCCATCCCGGGGGTCCCGTTGTGATCCCGGGGGTCCCGGGGGGGGCAGCTGGGACCCCCGGGGGGGGCACGGCGCAGGAAACAGCGGGGGATTAGCGCTGGCGTCAATCCCATCAGCTCACCCCGGCTGCTCAGGTGAGCCCGGGCCGTCCCCCCCGGATCCGCGCGGCCCCAATTAAGGGCTCAGGAACGGGATTTTGGGGGGGGGTCCGGGCTAATCCGGGGGCGGGGGGCGGTATAAGAGCAGGGGGGCGCGGCCGGCCGGGGCAGTGGCGCTGGTGGCACTTGGGGACAATGGCCACGGGCGTTTGGGACGGGGCGGTTTTCGCCGCGCGCCGGCGTCACGACGACGACGACACCACGCGCGACAGCATCTTCACCTACACCAACAGCAACAACACGCGCGGTGAGCGGCGGCCACACGCGGGGACACGCGGGGACACGCGGGGACACCGGGGGAGGGGGCCTGGGGCGGTTCTGGGGGGGTTTGGGGGAGTTTGGGGCAGTTTTGGGGTTGGCGGTCAAGGTACGCCAATGGTAGAGATGAGCACGGTGAAGATATTGGGGACATCAGGGGACATCAGGGGACACTGAGAGGCATGAAGGACACAGAAGGACATCAGGGGACATGGGGGGACACCAGGGGACACAGGGGGAGGGGGCCTGGGGCAGTTTTGGGGGGGTTTGGGGGAGTTTTGGGGTTGGCGGTCAAGGTACGTCAATGGTAGAGATGAGCGCGGTGAAGATATTGGGGACATCAGGGGACACTGAGAGGCATGGAGGGACAGTGGGGGACATCAGGGGACACTGTGGGGACACAAAGGGACACCAGGGGATCATTCTGAGGGAGACTTTGGGGAGTTCTGAAGAGTTTTGAGGAGTTTTGAGGAGTTTTGTGGTCATTGATCAACGTACGCCAACCCATATCGATGGCAGTGACGCGGTGAAGATGTGGGGGGACGTGAGGGGACACAAGGGGACATGGAGGGGACACGAGGTGACACGAGGGTCGCTCACGGCCACCGCCGCTGTCCCCCAGGTCCCTTCGAGGGCCCCAACTACCACATCGCGCCGCGCTGGGTGTACAACCTGACGTCGCTGTGGATGATCTTCGTGGTGATCGCCTCGGTGTTCACCAACGGGCTGGTGCTGGTGGCCACGGCCAAGTTCAAGAAGCTGCGGCACCCCCTGAACTGGATCCTGGTCAACCTGGCCGTGGCCGACCTGGGCGAGACGGTCATCGCCAGCACCATCAGCGTGGTCAACCAGATCTTCGGCTACTTCATCCTCGGCCACCCCATGTGCGTCATCGAGGGCTACACCGTCAGCGCCTGCGGTCAGTTGGGCTGGGGGCACGGCGTGGGGGGTGGGCCTGTGGTCAGTTGGGCTGGGGGCACGGCGTGGGGTGTGGGGTGTGGGCAGGGCCTGTGGTCAGTGCCTGTGGTCAGTGCCGGTGGTCAGTCGGGGACAGGGATGTGGGGCAAGGATGTGGGGCAGGGATATGGATCACAAATGTGGGTCACAAATGTGGGTCAGGGATATAGGTCAGGGACTCTCTATGGGTCTGAGCGCTATGGGGCCGCCCCATAACCACCCCAAACCCCGGCAGGCATCCCAGTGCTCGGGAATCCCTGGCCACCCTCCCCACAGCAAGGACTGGATGTTATGGGGTTGTCTGTGGGGTTCTATGGAGGGTTCTATGGGGTTTTGTGGGGTTCTATGGGTCGGGGTGCTATGGGGCAGCCCCATAACCACCCCAAACCCCGGCAGGCATCCCAGTGCTCGGGAATCCCTGGCCACCCTCCCCACAGCAAGGACTGGATGTTATGGGGTTGTCTGTGGGGTTCTATGGGGTTTGGGTTCTCTAGGGTTTGGGCTCTATGGGTCGGGGTGCTATGGGGCAGCCCCATAACCACCCCAAACCCCTGCAGGCATCACGGTGCTGCAGTTCCTGGCCACCCTCCCCATAGCAGGGACCAGAAGCTATGGGGTTATCTATGGGGCTGTATGGAGTTCAGTGGGGTTCTATGGGGTTGTGTGGGGTTCTATGGGGTTCTATGGGGCTGGGCGCTATAGGGCCGATCTCTATGGGTCTGGGTGCTATGGGGCCGCCCCATAACCACCCCAAACCCCTGCAGGCATCACGGCGCTCTGGTCCCTGGCCATCTTCCCCATAGCGGGGACTGGATGTTATGGGCTTGTCTATGGGGCTGTATGGGGTTCTATGGGGTTCTATGGGTCGGGGCGCTATGGGGCAGCCCCACAACCACCCCAAACCCCTGCAGGCATCACGGCGCTGCAGTTCCTGGGCACCTTCCCCATAGCAGGGACTGGAAGCTATGGGGTTGTCTATGGGGTTCTATGGGGTTCTGTGGGGTTCTGTGGGGTTCTATGGGTCGGGGCGCTATGGGGCAGCCCCACAACCACCCCAAACCCCTGCAGGCATCACGGCGCTCTGGTCCCTGGCCATCATCTCCTGGGAGCGCTGGTTCGTGGTGTGCAAACCCTTCGGCAACATCAAGTTCGACGGGAAGCTGGCGGTGGCCGGGGTCCTCTTCTCCTGGATCTGGTCCTGCGCCTGGACCGCGCCCCCCATCTTCGGCTGGAGCAGGTGGGGAGGGGTCCCCAGGTCCTGGGGAGGGGTCTGGGGGCGGCACCAGTGTCCCCAGGGGGTCACAGAGGTGACACGAGTGGCCCCCGAGGGTGTTGGGGGTGACACGAGTGACCCCAGAGCTGTCGGAGGCTCCAGGGCTACCCGAGGGTCCCCAAGTTGGGTCTGGGGGTGTCCCCAAGGGGGTTCCAGGGATCCACCAGACCCGGATCCCTCCTGAGAAATTTGGGGGGTCCCTATTGTCACCCCTGACCCCCCGGTGTCCCCCTAAGGACCACACGGGGGTGTCCCAGGTGTCCCCAAGGCTACCTGAGGGTCCCCAAATTGAGTCCGGGGGTGCCTCCCTGAGGCTCCCCGGGATCCCCCAGACCCAGATCCTTCCTGGGGAATTTGGGGGGTCCCTTTTGCCCCCCTGACCCCCAATGTCCCCCCCCGGCAGGTACTGACCTCACAGGGGTGACCCGGGTGTCCCCAATTTGAGTCTGGGGGTGTCCCCAAGGGGGTTCCAGGGATCCCCCAGACCCGGATCCCTCCTGAGAAATTTGGGGGGTCCCTATTGTCACCCCTGACCCCCCGGTGTCCCCCTAAGGACCCCCCCCTGAGGACCCCCCCGTGTCCCCCCCAGGTGGCGGCCCAGCAGAAGGAGTCGGAGTCGACGCAGAAGGCGGAGAAGGAGGTGTCGCGCATGGTGGTGGTGATGATCCTGGCCTACTGCTTCTGCTGGGGGCCCTACACCATCTTCGCCTGCTTCGCCGCCGCCAACCCCGGCTACGCCTTCCACCCGCTCGCCGCCGCCCTGCCCGCCTACTTCGCCAAGAGCGCCACCATCTACAACCCCATCATCTACGTCTTCATGAACCGACAGGTGAGGGGCACCTGGGGCACCTGGGGGCACCTATGGCACACCTGAGGGCACCTGGGCACAGGGACATGGGGTATGGGGTATGGGGTATGGGATAGCGCCACCATCTACAGCCCCATCATCTACGTCTTCATGAACCGACAGGTGAGGGGCACCTGGGGCACCTGGGGGCACCTATGGCACACCTGAGGGCACCTGGGCACAGGGACATGGGGTATGGGGTATGGGGTATGGGATAGCGCCACCATCTACAGCCCCATCATCTACGTCTTCATGAACCGACAGGTGAGGGGCACACCTGGGGGCACCTGGGGGCACCTGGGGCACCTGGGCACAGCTGGGCACAGCTCTGGGCATGGGGTATGGGGTATGGGATAGTACCACCATCTACAGCCCGATCATCTACGTCTGCATGAACCGACAGGTGAGGGGCACACCTGGGGGCACCTATGGCACACCTGAGGGCACCTGGGCACAGGGACATGGGGTATGGGGTATGGGATAGTACCACCATCTACAGCCCGATCATCTACGTCTGCATGAACCGACAGGTGAGGGGCACACCTGGGGCACCTGGGGGCACCTATGGCACACCTGGGCACAGCTGGGTACAGGGACATGGGGTATGGGGTATGGGATAGAGCCACCATCTACAGCCCCATCATCTTCATGAACAGACAGGTGAGGGGCACCGGGGGCACACCTGGGGTACCTGGGGGCACCTGGGCACACCTGGGCACAGCTCTGGGCATGGGGTATGGGACAGAGCCACCATCTACAGCTCCATCGTTTACATCTTCATGTCCCCCTGTCTGTCCTCGGTCTGTCCCTTGTTTGTCCCCTGTGTCCTGTCTGTCCCCTGTCTGTCCCCTGTCCCCTGTGTCCCACTGTGTCCCCATGTCCACCCTGTCCCCTGTCTGTCCCCTGTCTGTCCCCTATCCCTTGTGTCCCCCCTGTCCCCTGTCTGTCCCCCGTCCCCTGTCTGTCCCCCGTCCCCTCTCTGTCCCCTGTCCCCTCTCTATCCCCTCTTGTCCCCTGTCCCCCCTGTCTGTTCCCTGTCCCTGTGTGTCCCCTGTTGTCCCCCGTGTCCCCTGTGCGGTGTCCCCGCAGTTCCGGAACTGCATCCTGCAGCTCTTCGGCAAGAAGGTGGACGATGGCTCCGAGGTGTCCACCTCGCGCACCGAGGTGTCCTCCGTGTCCAACTCCTCCGTGTCCCCCGCCTAGGGACCCCCGCCGCCCCCTCCCCAATAAAGCTTTGTACCTCCCGGACAGCCGTGCCACCGTGTCACCTCCCCGCGCTGGCCCCGCGTCCCCAGGGGGCTGCGGGTGCTCAGTGTCACCTCCCCGCGCTGGTCCCGGGGCTGGGGGTCCCCTCTGGGTGTCCCCAGGGGGCTGGGGGTCTCATTGTCCCCTTCTCTGGGTGTCCCCAATGTCCCCAGGGGGCTGCGGGTGCTCAGTGTCACCTCCTGCGCTGGCCCCGGGGCTGGGGGTCGCCTCTGGGTGTCCCCAATGTCCCCAGGGGGCTGGGGGTCCTCAGTGTCACCTCCTGACCTGGCCCCGGGGCTGGGGGTCCCCTCTGGGTGTCCCCAATGTCCCCTCCTTGGTGTCCCCAATGTCCCCAGGGTACTGGGGTTCTCACTGTCCCCCTCTCTGGGTGTCCCCAATGTCCCCAGGTACTGGGGGTCCTCAGTGTCACCTCCCCACGCTGGCTCCAGGGCTGGGGGTCCCCTCTGGGTGTCCCCAGTGTCCCTAGAGCACTGGGAGCTCTCAGTGTCACCTTCCCATGCTGTCCCCAATGTCCCCAGAGCACTGGGGGTCCTCACTGTCACCTCCCTCCCCGCGCTGGCCCCGGTGTCCCCAGTCGCTCTTGGGGTCCCCTCCTTGGTGTCCCCAATGTCCCCAGGGTACTGGGGTTCTCACTGTCCCCCTCTCTGGGTGTCCCCAATGTCCCCTGGGTACTGGGGGTTCTCGGTGTCCCCTCCCTGTGCTGGCCCTGGTGTCCCCAGTCGCTCTTGGGGTTCCCTCCTTGGTGTCCCCAATGTCCCCTCCTTGGTGTCCCCAGAGCACTGGGGGTCCTCAGTGTCCCCTCTCTGGGTGTCCCCAATGGCTCTTGGGGTCCTCACCATCCCCTCCTTGTCCCCAGTGTCCCAGCCACGGGTGTCACCAATGTCCCCAACGGCTCTGGGGATCCCCAATGTCCCAGGAGTCCCCAGTGTCACCCAAGGGCCTCCCCAATGTCCCCCTCGATGGATTCCCAATGTCCCCAAGGCTCTGGGTGTCCCCCGTGTCCCCTCCTTGGTGTCCCCCGTGTCCCCTCCTTGGCGTCCCCACTGTCCCCATCGCCTTCGGGGGCCGCGCCACCCCCCGGGATGTCCCCTCCTGGGGGTCCCCAGCCCTCCCATCAGCCTTTGCGGCGGTGTCACCTCCCCCCCTCCCCCCCGTGTCCCCCCAAACACCCCCGGACCCGCTGGCCCCGCCCCCGCTAGATTGCAGCCAATGGGAAGCGCTCCCGCTGCGCGCCGTTCTGCTATTGGTCAAGAGAGGTGACAATTACCTCTGTGCCTTAAGCAGCCAATCAGAAACAGGTGTGAGGCGAAAGGGGCGTGATCTGGATAGAGGTGATGTCATCGCCCCAGGCCACGCCTCCCGTGCGCTCTCATTGGTGAAAAAGGGCGGGAGGGGCGCGCGCCGCTCTGTGATTGGCGGGGAGGGGGCGGGAAAGGGGCGGGGCTAAAAGAAACGGCACGTGGAGGGGGGGACAGGGACGGGGACAGGGACAGGGACAGGGACAGGACAGGGACGGGGACAGGGATGGGGACAGGGATGGGGACAGGGATGGGGACAGGGA